CCTACAAACATGTCTGGTCGCGGTAAAGGAAAAGCTAAGGGCACCAAGTCCAAGAGCCGCTCATCTCGAGCAGGGCTTCAATTTCCGGTGGGTAGAATTCACCGTCTTCTCCGCAAAGGCAATTACGCTGAGCGAGTCGGCGCCGGTGCTCCAGTGTACTTGGCCGCTGTGCTCGAATACTTGAGTGCTGAGATTCTTGAGTTGGCGGGCAATGCTGCTCGTGACAACAAGAAGACAAGAATTATTCCCCGTCACCTTCAACTGGCTGTCCGTAACGACGAGGAGTTGAACAAACTTCTTGCCGGTGTCACCATCGCACAGGGAGGTGTTCTTCCCAACATCCAGGCTGTACTTCTGCCCAAGAAGACCGAAAAGAAACCCAAGGCATAAATCAGCTTTAACCCATAAAAACGGCTCCTGTAGGAGCCACCACATAGTACAAAAGTCTTGACTAGCTGGACACGATAAAGTGAATAAGAACTATGAAAATATCATCTCAGGACCCCTTCCCCCAGTTTCCAAATCTATGTCATAAATTGAAAAGTCTAAAGGTTCTTTTGATACTAATGTCGGCCAACGACTAAATACACTTTATAAATTTTTTAGCGCACCAAAATCGCAAAGGTTTGTAAATGTCGCGCCAAAATCTTTTATTTCGACATCACTGGCGGTTATAACAAATTGCGCCCAAATCAGTTTGAAAGCAGGGCTGGTTCGAGGGTAAGGCGGTGTGAATTTTATTGTACTGTCAATGTAACTCATGCGACCCGCAAGATAAAAATAAGATTGGAAATAAATGTGCTAACAGGGGTGCTTGGAAAATACAGCTTGATGGTCGTTTTAAATATTAAAATGGAAAAACAAGGCTTGAAAGCAAACGGTGAAAGCGAGTCAGGGCTGCCATGTGATATAATGTTTGGGCGACTTTATTCATTTTTCCTTTGCATGCGATGTGCTGTTCTTCGCGCTTCAATACTTTACAGTGACACGCGGTTTGTTTAACAGTATGAGAGAAGGATATACGATTTTAATTCAGGCATAAAAGGAAACAAAATTATTATTGCTTTTCCTATAATTGGTGGTTCCTAAAAGAGCACTTTGTATTGTGTCAGGGGGGTCTGTCTAACAGCCATATCCGTACAGAGACAAGATCTTAGAAATAACGCCGTCGGAACTTTTACTCGACGCAAACAGGCGTGAATTGCGCGCCAAAATTGTTTATCGTTGAATCTTTGATGCCGACGTTACTGGCGGTTATAAGAAATTGCGTCTAACTTCAGTTTGAAATTGAGCTGGTTTGATCCTGATTTTATAGTCAATTTATACTCAGGCGATTCATAAAAGAACACTCGGAAAGGAAAGTGATGTATGTAACTAACAAGCAACAAGCGAAGAATGATCTTGGATTATGAATAGCTTTATGGAAAAACCTAATGGTTGTAAAAATATTCAACTGTAGAAACAAGGTAAGAAGGAGGGAAGGTTGAGGGAAAAGAGAAAGCGGGCCAGTAATGCCAACGAGATTTCGATTGTTCTTCGTATGCGCGCAACGTTCTTTTTCCGAGCTACTGCCACATATCGTAATGCGTGCGGATGGTGCAGATATTTTCCTTAGCAAATTATTTGTATGTGCGAGATATAAGCGTTCGTAAAAAACAAACATGTGTATTGATCATGACTTTCTTTGTATTTGGTGGCTCCTAAAGGAGCCGTTTGTATTGTGGCAGGATGGTCTGTCTAACCGCCAAATCCGTACAGAGTGCGGCCCTGTCTCTTCAAAGCGTACACCACATCCATGGCTGTCACAGTCTTCCTTTTGGCGTGCTCCGTGTATGTCACAGCATCACGGATCACGTTCTCGAGAAAAACTTTGAGAACACCACGGGTCTCTTCGTAGATCAAGCCGGAGATTCGCTTGACACCGCCACGGCGAGCAAGACGACGGATGGCTGGCTTAGTGATTCCTTGGATGTTATCACGAAGGATTTTTCGGTGACGCTTGGCGCCTCCTTTTCCGAGACCTTTACCTCCTTTACCGCGACCGGACATGCTGATTGTCACTCGTGTGTTTGAGTTATGGCAATTGGACGGACGTTATTAGGTTTTATACAAAAAGATAAGACCTCTCAGAAAACAGAATGGGAATAAGGGTTGCTATTGGTTGAGTCAAATATCTAATCATCATTTTACTGTTATATTAACATGTATTATCGCACGGTATTCCCGCGCGCGTATGCTTCATCGGAAAACAAGTCTCCTCCATCCAAAAGTCACTTGTGAACTACGCTAAAAATGGTTTTTCCTCTCTATTTATGCTTTATGTTAAATTTAAAGCGAAAATAATACTTAGGTTATCCCTAAACGACCTTTCATGTTACTTCGGATCAAAATAAGATCGCAGATCCGTGAAACTATGCACAACTTTCGTACCTAACCAATCAAATCTCTTCATTTTGAGCCAATCACAAGTAAGCC